GATACATATGTGTAAAGGCATATGTGAACATAAGCACAGACAACAAGAATAGAAAAATATAGTGCAAATTTTAACTATCATTAGCTCAGGGAATTGTAATTGAAAAGGAATTATAACATATGACATTATATATATAATATGTTTATATATTATATATATACACACACACATATATATGTATACAGATATACATATATATGTATATATATATATATTTGTTTAGAGTTATTATAATGAGTATACTTGAATTTTATATTTTAAAAAATACTGTTATTGTATAAATTTGATAAAACCATAATTGTATATTTAAGCTCTCTTTCCCGTTAAATGTTTATTACAAAAAAAATCATACTAAACAACAACAACAACAAAATAGGGTTTAATATAAGAGTTTATCAAAACTGGCTGGGTAAATACAGAAAAGTAAGCAATGGGGTAAACTTTCCATTGTAAAGATTGGGCTGTATCTTTAAGTGTTGAGAAAACAACAAATCAATTTATATAAACAAAGTGAGGAAGAGTACATATGAATATACTTGTGCAACTACTAGCATAACTACATGTTTACTTTTATAAATATAGAAATTTAAAATATTCTTATCAGTCTATCCATCTAACTGCTAGAAAAATCCTTAAGAAATTAATTCTGATTGTTTGGTASTACAACTGAGGCTCCACTTTGTGTAATGCTTGCTTTTGTGTTTTGTTTTAACATGTTGCAAATTAGAAAACAAAGAATAATAATTCCACTTAAAAAATTCATAACTACTTGGATATTATAAATAAAATATAGGAGTTACAAAAATATAACGAATTTTACATAATGAAATATTTTTTAAAATATATTTTGACTTGAAGTATGTTTTCAATAGTAATTTAAAAYCATATAAAACTGTTTCTRTGTTAAAAGTTTGTTGTTGTTGTTTTTTTTTTTCTTTGTGATGCTGGGARTTGAACTCAGGGCTTACCACTGAGCTACATCTGCAGACCCAGTGAAAAGTTTTTTAAAGGAGATTTTGAGTTGTACATTGATTATTTTATTATAAATTTACAACATATTCTTTTTGTTGCATGTAAGAGTAATTATGAAGTTTCAAAGTGCCCTCTGTATTCTTAAATCTTGTAATTATTCATTCTTCACAAAATGCTTTAAAAACCATAGACCACAGGGGGCTTTCAAAGAAGAAACTATAAAAAGGTCCCAATCCATCATGGATTTAATGTGTTCTCTTAAACTCGTGAATACATATTTTATTTGTGTCCATTAAATTACACTTTCACTATTTTGCAAGACTGTTCTTAAATCACAAATTATCTATATAGTTTTCCTCCTATTTCCCTTAATATGACTTTCAAAGAATTATACATTTAATCTTAATCCAATAATGCATTACACTTTATGATTTCATTTTTAGAGCTTTAAAAAAATAAAATGAGTGTTTAAAGTTAGTAAGCATTTGCAATTCTCAGAGGAAAAAGTTGAAATAATGAAACTGGACCATGTGATAATAACCTAAATGATCCTTGTTGTGTTTGGGAATCTTGATGTTCATTATCACCTAAACTTTCCACTTGCAGTTGCAGTACTTGGAAAGGTCTTGACATTCAAGCACTGTCATCATGCCCACCCTGAAATGCGTGAGTTGGTATTCTAACCTTTCATGAGAATCAAAAAAACTCCCAGTAATCAACAGAGGATATGAAACTTTTTCTTAACAGTATTAACCACAAGGCTTCAGAGTGATAAATCAAGAGATATGAAACAAATACTTAAAAAACAGTCTAATGGGAGTTCGCCCTTGCTTTCATTTCATCTAAATTTTCTTTTACATTGGTGTTCACACGTCCTRTGATTTTTTAGAGTTCTAATAGCTTTTTAGCATACACATATTACATTGAAATACTACCTTGTATGCATAAAAGTATTAGTTTCAATAATTTCATAAATAAAATAGCCTCTCACACGCACATAAGTACTTAATTCTATCTCATTTGAAAAGGGATAGGCCACTCTGGAGCTACTTTTAAACATTAGGCTATACTTCAGAACTCTATCCCTTCACTTCAAGGAAGGGTATGTATATATAAAAGGAAGAAAGTAGTGGAATGAGTTCTTTTTTAGTTATATATGACAGTGGAATGCATTATGATTCTTATTACACATATAAAGCACAATTTTTCATATCTCTGGTTGTATACAAAGTATATTCACACCAATCCGTGTCTTCATACATGTACTTTGAATAATAATCATCACATTCCATCATCATATATGACTCCATGCCCCCTCCCTTCCCCTGCAACACCTCTGCCCTATCTAGAGTTCATCTATTCCTCCCATATTCCCTCTCTTTATCCCATTATGAATCAATCTCCTCATATCAAAGAAAACATTTGGCATTTGTTTTTTTGGGATTGGCTAACTTCACTTAGCATTATCTTCTCTAACTCCATCCATTTACCTACAAATGTTTTTTTTTTTTTTCTGGAGAATTCAAAATAAGTCTGGTCAGAGGTGGGGTTGTGGCTCAGTGGTAAAGTGCTTGCCTAGCACACATGAGGCACTGGGTTTGATCCCCAGCACCACATTAAAGATAATAATAATAATAATAATATTAATAATAATAATAATAAGAAGAAGAAGAAGAAGAAGAAGTAATAGTAGTAGTCTGTTCAAAAAAACTAAACAAACTAACCAAAACAAAGCATGCTATTAACTTCACCAGTAGTCAGAGTCTGACACTATTTTTCTCTGGGATACAACACTAAAGGATCAGCACTGTACTTTATATGTAAATGATTATGGAAGAAAAGCAGATAACATAAAGCATAAGAGAAGAGTATTGGAAAATTACTCAAAGAATCCCCAAGTTTTACTGTTCAAAATGTCTAAGCCAGGTGTGGTGGGATGTGCCTGTATGCCAGGTACTCCATTGGCTGAAGCTGAAGAACTGCTTGGGCACAGGAGTTCAAGGGGAGCTTGGGCAACATAGACTCTTTCTCAAAAAAGCAAAGCCAAGCAAAGCAAAACAAAACATCTGTAAAAGCCTATATAAATCCACTGTTCATCATTATTAATTCTACCTGGATCTTACTTTATTGAAAGTACACTATTTCAACCATGTCTCTGATTTCATGCTTAATTGCTTTTTTATTTTTATTTTTGAATTGTGAAAYATTAACCAGAATCTAGCAAACTAAAATATTAATTCAGCATACTGTTAAAGTATTTCTTTTGTTTTCCATGGTTAGGGGTTACTTACTCATAGCATTTGTTTTTAAACTTATGCATCTATCTCTGTAATGTGTGTTTCTAAAATTGAAAAGTAATTTCTCCAAGTTTGTTTTCAGAACCAAATAATACTCAACTTTGTCATCTCAAAATAGTGTTCTTAATACATGCACTTGTAAAGTTGCTCTTTGATAAGAATATATCATATTTAGAGTCAAAATTTAAATATAAAACATTTTAATTTAAAAAATGACAGTTACTTGTCCTCCAAATGTACACATTCTATCTTATTTTGTTGAAATTTTCAAACACAAAGAGATGAATGTTGAATAACCATGATCTTATTATAAAAATGGACTTTAGCTGTGTGAAGTATAATACAATACAAAAAAATTATCTGCAGGTTTAATCAGGAAAGGGAAAATCCTTGCAGGAAAGGATGTCAATACCAAAACAAATAAAACAAACACCTTTGCCTCCTGTCTATTACAGTACATAAAGGAAGTTATTTTTAACTCTGGGCTTGGAACACTGTCTTTTTTTAGGAATTCTTTCTATTATATTTAATTGATCCCCTGAACCTGTCATGCTCAGTGCTTCTGTACTACATCTCCATTAACCTATGAGTAAATTAATCAAAAAGGTTAGTTGGCCTTTGCAATTTTAGTGTTTTACTTCTCTTAAAAGAATCTGCAGTTAAAAGTGTACCTTCTCAAATTGATACTGTGTTTATATAGGATAAAACTAATTCCCTGACCAACCATATTCCCACTTAGTTTTCCAACTTCATATTCCAATTCTCCACAATGGACTCCATTTTTCCATACCTTTACTGTGCACCTAATCATTTTCTTGTGTCAGTTTCCCTTAATGAGGCAATGATATTTCCTTCTGTTTGGTTCCCTCTCACACTTTCACTTTCTCCTTTTTTTTGCCCAACAATGCTATGCTGTTTTTAAAGTTCAGTTCAAAATGCTAAGCTCACTAGAGGGACAATTCACCCCTTTACTTTACTTCTAGAATTATATACACCTCTGTTTCTACCATGAAGCCTATGCATCTAAGTAGTGAGATCCTCACTTTTGTGCTGACAGTATCTGACACTCAGCATACATACATTCAGTAAATAAACATAACTGCTTATCTGCTTATGGGTTTTATGACTGAATTTGGCCTTCTGGTCACTTGTCACTTCTAAGCAAGAGATCATTTCTTATACTTTTTCCTTGAGAATAAAAAGCCTATGATAATAAAAGGGAAATGTTGACTTAATTCRTGAAGTTGGCACCTGTGACTTTGGGGTAAAGTGTTAAGCCATATTATCTCAGTCAGTCTTTTCTCTCAGTAGTAGGCCTCTTGGTCTACAGATGGGACTTAATTGTTCCTTAAATATGTTTAACATTTATGTTTTGACGATATTATCCACTAGTCATTTAGCACTTCTGTTGTAGCTTTGTTATCCTAAACTCATCAATTTTACTATGAATTCTTATTACTCTAGCTCAGAAAAATATAAAAATCTATAGTTTGTTCATGAGTAGACATAAATAAGTGCCAGGTTCAACAGCTTGCTTTTATGAGAAAAGGATGAGTTAAAATAGTAAGTACACAAACAAAAATTCATGATTGTGAACAGGGTAACCGTTATAAAATAAAGGAAACCTATATTAATTTGGAGATTTTACTGAGTCTCCTTCCTGTCTAGCAAAAATGTTTAGTTATGTGTTCCATTGTGCCAAGGACAGACTAGTCCTTTCCAGTCACTTACCCTCTGACAGCGTGAATAAGTCTCAATGATGGATAGGCAGTTCGCACTTTCAGTTTATTCTTAAGGATTAATGCATTAACCCATTCCACATGCTTCTCTCCTCCTTTGACCATGAAAGCAGGAATCCAAAGGACACTGTCATTCAGCATGGAAAGTCTATGCACAAATTTTTCTCTGTCACTCTCATTCCGAAAGCCTCCAAATGCTCTTTGCACAACTGATGGATTCATGGTAATAAAATCTGATTTAGTTCCCACATCTGCAGCAAACTCCACCACAGGAGCTAGGTTACACCTGAAGAGGAAAAAAAAATAATGGACAAATGACAAATAAATATGAAACATTCACTCATAAAATGACATACATGAAAAGAAGAATGAGGAACAAGCATGTTATTTTTTGTCATATTTTTTTTCTTTTCCTCTTCTTTTTTCAACAGGTGAAGGAAAAATTCCAAAGATAATCTGCCTGGTAAAATTATGTTTTCAGTAAGTCACCATACTTTCAAAAATATTGCTACCARTAAGCATGTACACTACCATTAAAAGACTCAAATTGCCACTTGTATTCAATCTGTTGTCTAAGAATATTTTTACTGTTATTTTCATTAAACTATATGATAGAATTCACAGTAAGTGAATTTATGATGACAAATTCACTATGGCTCTGTTGCCATGCAGTAGGCAATATAATCCATATGCTGTTTGTGTAAGTATGTAAAACACATTGGACTTGGTATCTCAATTTGTTCGGGTTGTCAAGCTTACATCTTTTCAACAACTTCATATATATAACCGAATGAATTCAACTTCTGTATGCTCTGAGTTAAAGGGAATTGTACATTTCCTTACAGCATTTTGCACAAACATATTTTTTCATCTGTGGGTCAAGTGGGGAAGAAAAGAAAGAAAAATGTAGACATAATATTTATTAAGTCTTTYTGAGATTTGAAGTAAAAACAAAAAACAAACAACAACAACAACAAAACAAACAAACAAACAAAACCCTTTGATGTAAGGTCAAGTATCCTCCATTAGGTTTCTTTTGAGGACACCTTAAAGGTACCTTCTTTCCCTGTTAGCACTTCTTCATCCTTAGGAAATGTTCAAGTTAGAAAGAGAAAGAACTTGTGGTTCTGAGCCAAAAGGTCTTGAAAAGTGCCTGACCTGATTTTATTCATGTAACTAGGTTCTATTCTTRTATTATAAGACAACTTTGGAAAGCACCTTGAATGTCTATAATTCATTTGTGATGCTTTCTTGATTCCATCATATTAATTTGGGGGTATTTGATGTAAACTATAGCCTTTTAAAAACTCACTATGTTTAATCTGCTAAAAAAGCAGGGTAAAATCAAATGATGAATGAAAAACTAGATTTTTAACAAACATGAATTTACTAAGAAAAAATTCATTTGAATTTATTCAATCTAAATCATCACAAAATATAAACATACCCCTCACACACACACATCCACATGCATACACACACATAAATAGAACTTCTCTCCCCCACCCCTTCTCTMCCCCACTCCCTTTCCTTTTATCAACCTTTCAAGGGAAAGAAACATTAATAGATTTTCTTTTTCAGTATTTTTACAGATTTGATTTCATTTGTGAAAGCATCTCACATTTCTCTTTCTCATATATCGTACTGCTTTAATTACATTTTTCCAACAGCTAAATTTTAATTAAAAAATAAGCATTTGTTTTATTAAAAACATTGTMTTGTATATTGTTCTTATATCTCTTAATKAATACATTTTATTTTTTCCCAAATCTTGTATAACACTTAGYTATTGAACCAATCTCTTTCATCTCACACTGTTAAGAAAATTCTACAGTGAGCTATTAAAAGAGAAAAAATGTTAATGTCAAGATATTATCTGTAAATTATAGATTAATGATTATCTTTCAATTTATATACCTTTATACCCACTATATTGTATGACAGAGTATTTGCTTTCACCACTACTTGAGATTGGATATTGTTCATTTCCATCCTGATAATGATATTAGAAACAGGACTGCCCAGAAAAATAATTGTTACCCATGAACAGATACCAAAGTGAACATTCTATTGTGAATTTCATAGGAGATTAAGATTTTGTATTTTTGAAGTTCTAAAAAATGTGCTGCATACAAAAGTGAAAAAAAAATCTAAAATTTTAATCAAACTGATTATAACATGAATTTGGATACTGTGTAAGGAGGTAAATTCTGAATAGCATTATTTCAGTCACTTCTCCTTTTTGATGTAAAATGTCAAGAACACTTGTTAACATTACAGTTAGCATGTTCCTGCCAGGGGAGATGACAGCATACATATTTTTCTGCTACACAGCAATGCTTAGCAATTGCTTTCAGAGGGTGCTCACTATAGAAAAACAGTATCTAAACTCTACTTTCTCCATAACATAAAAGTAATTAGAGCAACCCTCTTGAAGAGAATAAAAATTATATTCTGTTGAATATTGTTAAGAAAAACCTTACTTAAGTACATTATATTTTTAGTTGTTTTTCCTCACCTCATGCTTAAACMTCCTATGTCTTATGCCATGTTTGTCAACACCTACTCTTTCAAGATTGATTACATATATTTCCGACACGTTTGTCTGGGCATTTATCTTCTAAGAAGTGACAAAATGTTCATCAATTAGAGCTGAGTGCTAAACTCGGGTGCTTTTCACTTTGGAAACAAAAGGAAGTTTATCAAATATTTTTGGTGAACAGGATCGATCTAGGAGACAAGCACATTTGATGCAACTAAACAATGATAAATGAGTTTAATGACAAGGAGGAGAAACTGGATATCAAATGGTATTAAATCCATGCTTATATACATAGGACATGGAGCAGAGGGGATTTGAGCAAGCCAAATCAGGTCTTGTGAGTTATGGTAACTGAGGTAGGKAAAACAGAAAGACAGTGACAAATCATACAATATACACTGTGCCAGCTCTGGGAGTCCACTTGTCAWGTTCGTGGGAAGGAGTATGTGTAATTTCTCACTGGAAAGAAAGAGTAATACCCTGGTCCACATGTGGTCAGTAAATTGYTCTGTGGTTGAGTCAGATATTTTGTCATATAATTAGCTGAATGTCACATAATCAAGGAATAGAACTCAAGAAAGCCAAAATAAACAACCAGCTGTGCTTTACTCAGTAAACTCAAGAMCTAGAGAACATTACTTGGAGCAATATTGCTGATTCAGTAAGATTCTAAATGCATTCTCAATCTCAACRCTTTCATCTTTTTAAAAATTTTAGAGGTTGTAATATTCAAAAGTAACTGAAATGTTTCAAGGATTTATGAAGTGATACATGATTACTCATATTAATGTTAACYTCATAAAATAGATGAGTGTCCAGTTTTTAAATGGTGGATTTTTGTGATCCAGAGCTGCTGAGTGCATTTAATAGACTCAAGCTCTATTGTTTTCAGCCAAATCAATTGTTTTTTGTACTGTCAAACTATTTGACAAATCAGAATCAGGATAATGCACATGCAAAATTAGATGTGGTGAGCAAACCTTCTACTTATTCTAAACTGTTCAGGACTCTATTTATTGAGGTTGATTTCTCAATGTTGATTGATTGCTCACAAGAACAAAGCTAGSTCCCCTTTGTATTCTAGACCTCCGAATTTTCTTCTGCACACACTATAGCRTAYCACACTGCATATCATCACTTCTCAKYATTCTTTACATGCAGAAATGAAGACATTTCCTTTAAATTTAAGGCATTATATAACACTTATTTTAAAATTCATGTGGAAAGTAATGTTTACTTCATGTRCGGATACTACAAGATCACAGAATTTCCTTACAAAAAACGTTTCTAGGATTTGTCAATGTTCTCTGCATTTCTCTTAAGTTATAATTCCAAGGTCAAAGCAAGTAGGAGGTCTCCCTTTTATTTACATAACAGCCATGCTCAGTTCATTGTGCATGACACTAGTGGAYAGAATGCCTTTTCTAGTTATTTTGTAATTCATGCTACCTTACAGTGACAGAAATCCGTCCCAAGTGTAATCACAGATATTCCTAATAATATTGATGAGATAAGGCTCATTTATTTAGCCATCTGCTTATTCATTCTATGGTATGTTTCACATATTTTTGAACTAATTACCAAGTTTCTGATGTAAAGTATASATGGTACACTGAAAATTTTGGAATTTGTACATTCTTACATATTCAATGTAGATTAAATTRAATTAGAAGAAAACAATTCTAAGTGGGTTACACCCACTTTTTGGTTAATATTCAGACAAGTCCTAACCACATAATTATCATATTTCCTTTTTCCTCTTTTGGCCAATCCACTGTGTCTTTCCTTGTACTAAACTGAAATCTTTCAACCTAAACTATCATTATCAATGGGACCACATTTGCCAGTACACTGAAAAATAGGAGAGTCTCTTCTATTCACAGAGGAAACTTCTGGAAGCTTACTCTCTTCTTGCTTCTTGGCTTCAAGAGCCAAGAGAATAAGCTCTGTTACTTTTTTTTTTTTTTTAACGCTTTATGGTTACACACTCAGAAAAGAAGCTGGAATATGCGATCTGTTCATCTCTGAATTCTTGAGGTGAAAGGTAGTAAGGCTCCAATCATCCTGAAACCAACCATTTTTGGATGAGGTCAGGAATAGAATTATCTATATATTTAAGGATGAACCGCAGTAAAGGTGATTAGGAAACATGCCCAAGGGCATGGAGATTATGAAAGAAAAGGACAATCAGGTTTGGAATGGCTCCAGGACTGGAGTTTTAACTGGCTTTGTTTGTACATATGATTTCTTTAGAAATGAGGGAAAATGTCTGTATAGTCATCTTCACAMAAACCTTCATATAGAAGAAAGTCTGCTTTGTTTTTCTTACCTAGGTTTTAGTCTCAAACACCCCACATTAAAGCAAGGCCAGGTTATACTAAGCCATTCTGTCATGACTGTCCCCAATTCTAAACAGTTACTAAACAAAGGGTTTTAAATACCTACAATATTAGATTAATGTCTGTACATCAGAACTTTTGATGGAATAGGTTACCAAAATGTTAACTAACTACTTGATAAGACTGTTTGACACATAAAGAACAGGAATAGAAGTTGATTTACATGTAGTCTGGCATTAGGTAGTAAACAAATTATAAGAAATAAAGATGCAAATCATGTTGAAGATTTACATTCTCAGTATACCAGATGAACAAGGACACACACACACACACACACACACACACACACACACACACCATATATTATGACTGCTTAAACATTGATAAAATCCTCAGTGTTATAAT